GTTTTTGGTTGAGAAGGAATGTTTTCCTCGATGTTAACTTAATGGTTCGAGGACAAATGTTTTTTGTATAAGTAGTCATCAGAATTCAAAGATCGATTTTATACGACTCCTGACACCTTCCAGAAATGAGTGTTGTCCTCATTTAAGAGAATAAAATGATGTAATATAAGTTCTTTTTTACAATTGAACATAAAATGTTTAAATGCAAAATATTCCTCTTTCGATAGAAAATTTTAATGAAGTACTCATATCATTGAGCAAATAAGCAAATTGCAATGCACAATGGGTTTAAAGCTGAATTGATAGACTAAATTCTTTCCAAAGAAGTCTACGCAAACGCAATTCGGGATGTTTTTTATATTGAAAACTTACATAATCATGATTATAGAGCTTCAAAATATTTTGGACAAAACCAGAAAAAGTGGTTCAAGTCATGTACTTATTCCTGAGATAATTTAAAATAAGTCTATGCGAATTTGTGTCCGGAAATGCTTCGTTTCGGCGATACAGGATGTTGAAATTGAATTTTGTTGTTCGTTTTNTTAAAAATATTATTTGACAATATTATTTTCAATATTCTTTTATATTATTTACTGAATTGTTGGCATCAGATATTCTAAAATCATAATAAAAAATCAATTATCCAAATTACAACATTAAATTTGTAATTTCAAAGAAGATGACTGAAGCAATAATATGGTATTTATAGCTATGTGTAATGCAACGAAACTTTTGTGCGCTTTCTAATTAACTACTATACTTACTGTATATGTATTGTCAAGTAGTTTCCTATGACTCGAGTCTGTTTTCTGTTTCTGTTTTTCCGTTAACCAGCTGTCGCACCCCTACTAACGACAATCCTCAGAAGTCGAAACTTGTGCGAGCTATGGATTAACGCGGTCTTACCTTTTAACGTGTGATTCCTTACACGGATAATGAATGTAAACATTATTCTGAATGTAAGTTTATTTCAAATATACATTTCTTTTGCCCTTAGGTATATGTTTTCAGAAATATTTGTAGCTCTTATGGTTTAATTAGGCTAAAACAGTTATATTTGTTTTCAGTTAGGTATCTGATTTAGTTCTGGTGGGTATATTGAAATTTAGCTTTTCTTCATTGCAGTGTATTATTTCAATTATCTGATTTTTTTCATTTGGATTATTGATTTTTTTCTGCAAATTTTCGTTTGAGAAACTCCAGGAAGATGACAAAATTTGCAGGTAGTGATGCAATAATCACTACCAAATGGCCTGGAACTCAGAATAGTTCAAATAAATTCGAAAAGAAATAAAAAGTACACCCTAGATATTTTTCGAATGATTTAATTTCCTTTAAAAATGGTACACCCTAGATATTTTTCAAATGATTTAATTTCCTTTAAAAAATGATTGAAAATGATCAATTCTTTTCATTTCCACGTTCTCAATTTAGGCAATAGGTGATCATCATGTATCGTAATCAATCTATTAGGCAGAAATCTATTCAGAAATGAATTAAAACCCAAATTATCGAGAATATGGTTCATCTTAGAGTATTTCTCTGAATTATTGGATAGGTACTGTTCTGAGGTGTTTTTGGGAATATCTTCCTTTAGTTGTAAAACCTACTACTTAGTGGAAAAAACAAGAAAGATCAGAGACCAAAAAAGCATAATCAATAATAATTTCCTAAACTTCTATTCATTATTATTACGAAAAATAAAGCTTTCAGTTCCTTCTCAATGAATGAATTTCTATGTCGACGAAAATAGTAAAACTAACTGAAGATTTTCTAAAAGAGTTTTGAGTAAGCTCTTCTATTGCGCCGAAGGGAAGCAAAGACCATAAAAAAAAGAAGAAGAGAAGAAGAGCTTTGAGTAAGTTTTCTGAGTAAGGATTAAATCTATATTTATTATTCAGAAGGAAAATTAAATTACTTCGTCTATCTAGAGAATGGATGTATTGCGATGGAGTGTGTTGAGAATGGAGATCTTTAAAATCACAGATGTCTTGGATGGAATTTCCATCCCCTCTTCACAAACATTTTCAAACATATATGGAAGGTTGAGCAGAAAGGGAAGTTTTCAACCAAAGTATGTAAAAAAAATACAATGTACTGTAAGAACACCAGAAATTGAGGTAATGCGTTTTATGCGTTCAGGGTATTTCGTGTTAGCATTGTATTTACATTAATTTCATAATTTCACTGTTAGAAAATATTTTTCTCAACTAATTTCACGTAACGGAACCGGTCATGACTCCCATCCAACACCTCACCTTCCAGTCGTCTCACAGTTCTGCGCCAACTGAAAACACGGAAATACGCTTTCCTGCTGCGAGTTCTCCTGCGACCTATCCGCTCTCGCGTGAGCGAAAGCCGCACTTAATCTGAACTGAACGCTTCGCGCTTCTCCCAGTAGAGACCACCACCAGATAATACCGTCCCAGCACGGCGCCTGGGATGTAACTCGGCCGCTTCATTGGCTGGCGCCCGTTCGCGCTATCCCAAGCGATTGGCCTGGCCTCATGGGCTCGCGACGCAAGCCACGCCCGCTACCCTAGCAGGACGTTCGCGGTGGCCCCTAGGGGTGTAGCTCCACCCTTGGGAGGCTCTCTTCGGGCAAAGATAGAGAAATATTCTCGACGCTTATCAATACCGGGTCCCAGTCGCGAATTGACCTTACTCGGTAGANTTCTACCTGTTAACCTACAATTTCCATCATTAACTGATTGAGTTTTGTAACTGCTGTCGTATAAAATTAATTGTAGAATAAGTCATTGTAGAATGAGGAATATCACCTGTTTCTTAAACTATATATCACTGATTCCAAACAACAAAACTTCAACACTATTTTTGATTCGCATTTCACCAGCTAAGGTGGCACCTTCAAGAGATGTGAGGCTCTCAACTTTTCTGTTAACAGGAGAATGATAAGTACCAGGATGAAATCAACAATGATTGAAATTTATTCAAAAGTACATGTTGGAGAATTCAAAACAGTTTTATTTAACCCATTCCTGCCCATGGGGTCGCTAGCGACCCACGACAAATATACAGTCTCAACTGTAACTATGTTAATCACTACCTACTTCCGCAATGTCACGTGTCTATTTCTGCCGCCAAACATACTGAAGTGAAGTTATAGTTGGTTAGGGGTTCTCAATATCATTCAAAAACGAAATTATGATTTCCTACGTCAAAACAACCTTGGGTACCAAATTTCGTAACTTGGTATTTGCAAAAGTTATTTTTAAAAAATGAACAAAAAATTAATTTCAACACCCTGTATCTCCATAACAAAGCATTTCCGGACACAAGTTTATATAGATTTTTTTTCTTAAAATTGTCTCAGGAATACGTCACTTGAATATTTTAAAACCTTGTATATTGGTCAAACCGGCAAAACATTCAGGAACCTCATTTAGATATCGTATCCAGGAACATCATATGAGCTATGTAAACAAGAACACAAGTTCTACATACTCAAAATTTTGCACAAAAAAATAGGCTTGAAACTAAATCATTTGGAAACAATGGAAATTAATAAACTCAAAAATTCAATAATTTTACTGAATGACGTACTGAATTTGAATAAATCACTATTAGGTACTGAACTTTTTCTTAGAAAACGATGTAATTCTAGTCTTTGTTGACATATTATCATTGATGTAGAAGAGGAAGTAGTGTATCTAGGTAATTATAATTGAGTGTGTACCTGTGGTATATAAAAATTGACTACATGTAGAAATAATATATACTCTAGGTAATTATGAGTGAGTTAGCGTGAAGAATTACTTTTCACTATATTATTTACAGGAAAAAGCTACTGTGATAGCGAAACATGTCGTGACAGTTTTGAAATGAATTTTATGAAGATTAAATCGGTAGTTTGTGAAATTACTATGCATCTTTATCGAGTAACGGCCGAGTCAATCAGAAAATTGTTATCCTTNTGTAAAACCTACTACTTAGTGGAAAAAACAAGAAAGATCAGAGACCAAAAAAGCATAATCAATAATAATTTCCTAAACTTCTATTCATTATTATTACGAAAAATAAAGCTTTCAGTTCCTTCTCAATGAATGAATTTCTATGTCGACGAAAATAGTAAAACTAACTGAAGATTTTCTAAAAGAGTTTTGAGTAAGCTCTTCTATTGCGCCGAAGGGAAGCAAAGACCATAAAAAAAAGAAGAAGAGAAGAAGAGCTTTGAGTAAGTTTTCTGAGTAAGGATTAAATCTATATTTATTATTCAGAAGGAAAATTAAATTACTTCGTCTATCTAGAGAATGGATGTATTGTAATGGAATGTGTTGAGAATGGAGATCTTCAAAATCACAGATGTCTTGGGTGGAATTTCCATCCCCTCATCACAAACATTTTCAAAAATATATGGAAGGTTGAGCAGAAATAGAAGTTTTCAACCAAAGTATCTAAAAAAATACAACGTACTGTAAGAACACCAGAAATTGAGGTAATGCGTTTTATGCGTTCAGGATATTTCGTGTTAGCATTGTGTTTGCATTAATTTCATAATTTCACTGTTAGAAAATATTTTTCTCAACCAATTTCACGTAACGAAACCGGTCATGACTCTCATCCAACACCTCACCTTCCAGTCGTCTCACAGTTCTGCGCCAACTGAAAACACGGAAATACGCTTTCCTGCTGCGAGCTCTCCTGCGACCTATCCGCTCTCGCGTGAGCGAAAGCCGCACTTAATCTGAACTGAACGCTTCGCGCTTCTCCCAGTAGAGACCACCACCAGATAATACCGTCCCAGCACGGCGCCTGGGATGTAACTCGGCCGCTTCATTGGCTGGCGCCCGTTCGCGCTATCCCAAGCGATTGGCCTGGCCTCATGGGCTCGCGACGCAAGCCACGCCCGCTACCCTAGCAGGACGTTCGCGGTGGCCCCTAGGGGTGTAGCTCCACCCTTGGGAGGCTCTCTTCGGGCAAAGATAGAGAAATATTCTCGACGCTTATCAATACCGGGTCCCAGTCGCGAATTGACCTTACTCGGTAGAGGAACTCTCGCGAGATAAAAGAACAACGTTGACTGAGAGTGTGCGGGTGGTTTTTCGGTTGATCAGAGTGTGTGTGGCCGCAAGGCAGGACTTTGTGAACCGTCTTGAAAAGCTGTCAAGACGAGGTCGGACGAGGGACATCCTGCGGAGCGCGGTTACCCAACGGCGTCTCCTTGGCCCGCTCTGTCCTTAACGGCTCACGAACTGGACCCTGTGGCAGCCGCGTGGGGGCGGAAACTCTATCCAGGTACTGATAATCTTTGAGAAAATAGTACAATATGGATTGAGAATGTTGACTGGAGACAAATGTATCCGTTGTTTATACAAGACGTTTATATCTAAGCACGTGTGTCTGAAAATGAATTACTGAACAATCCGTTATTGAAATAAATACATACGTCTGCGACAAATTCTCCATAAAATTTTGTATTATGGTTTCTAAACTAGGTGGACTCAGTTCCATATATATCTGAAAAATTGGAAATGTAAGCAGATAATAATTAAGAGGATATTTCTTCAAGTAGGTATATATACCTGAGGATATTGAAGACAAGGTACATTCCGAAATGAAACGAGAAAAAATATTATTGAATGAGATATCAGAAACGTAGTAACAAAAAAAATCATGTGAATTGTATTATCTATCCACTCAATATACCGTTGTTTTAGATAACAGATTAGTAAAATCAAGTTGTTCAATAGATGAAGAGCTTTGAATTCATAAAAATTAATTGTACTATTCCTGTCTGTTTTTGAATTCAGTATTCGGTTGAAAGAAATTTGTTGTAGTTAAAACGTAATAGATGAATCGATCTTTACTTNTTATTGAATTTTATGATTTTTAGTATAATTTTTTTTCGTTCAGAAAATTCTATTCAAATCATCCTAAGCTATACCTGGTTCATATGACACCCTCTCGAAAAATAACGTATTTCATTATACCTGTTTGATATCTTTCAGTTGAAACACAAACAAAAATTCTGATAATATAATAATGTAACAAAACGATATAAGATCAATGGAATCATGAAACTTTGGGCATTTGAAATGAGCCGACAAAGTAATGAAAACCAATTGACTGGTTATTTCCTCCGAACAATGTAAATTTTCAATGGAAGATTACTTTTATTTATGAAATTCGCTAAAAGGTAGCTGAATGTTGTGATTTTGAATCATTTTCATATAATATCCAACTGCGATATCTGTCAATTTAAATTTTCAAGTAAACGGAATATTAAAGAAAGCCATTCTCGATTTGAAATTGAAACTCATAATCACGTCATAAAATCTACTTACTATGAAATGTGTAATGCCCACAGATTAATACTCATGAAAACAACCATAGTTCATAAAAGACTACAAACATTATAAACTTCTCAGTGAATAACATTCAACTGTCAAATGATAGTGATACGTCAACAATTGCCAAATTTGGACTTCGACTCTCATTTGTATAGCTATCTCTCTTTGATGTACCGAATTCAAGTTATCATCAGAAAGTTCTTGTTGATAAAACGCAAACGTCAACTACTGTTTTGTCCAACTTTTTTAATTGTTGAAGATGATGCTATATACCTATTACAGTATGTATTTTATCGCTTCAGTAGTGCATGTATGATGATTCGTTGTTCCAGTTGTATCTACTTTAAATTATTGTAGGTTATATGCTGACATAAACAGAAATTTCATGAATATTTCTGAATATCAGCTTATTCATAATCTTCTCTTTAGGTACGGGCACCTCAAGAGTGGCCGGTCCTGGTCTGATGTTTGGTCTGCATCACCACCAAGATGCTACCGGGTTGCACCATCATCATCAACCACGTGGTCCCAGCCTCAAAGAAGAGCCCTTAACAACGGCCCGGTCGTGGATGCAGAGCACTGTATCCGATCAAAATGGGTAGGTTCCGTATACTATAATTTTTGAGATGAGTATTCGTTACTGAAACATTACAGAAATGATTCATGAGGTTTAACTATAGTAGGTAATCACTAAACTAATTTTAACTCAAACCAAATAATCATGTAGGTGAATCATTAGGTACTTTTTTCAGGATATCTCCAAACGTTTCTCTCACATATACCGATTCTATTAGGCATTATTTATTTAAATAACATGACTCAATAATCGTAAATTATTCATGAAAATGAATCATCAAAAATTAAATGAAAAAAATCAATTCTATCCAAAATATGGGGGTTCCTACAAATATATGAAGCTACAGGTGTTTTATCAAAGTGTCAATGTATTTCGTTTTTCAAATCTGATAACATTATGATAGATTCGTTGTTAATGCGTATTTTTAGTTTCGCAGATTAAAAAAAAATATTTTATTTTTGTGTATATATTGAAAATCTGAATATACGTTAACCAAACTTTAGCTTTTTTGATGAAGTCTTGAAGAACGTTGAACAGTTTGATACCATTAAGTTAACGAAATGATACCAATAAGTTGATGAGTCATGTACTTGTTATGCACTGTTTGGAACCTTTGGTGTAGTAATGAAAATTACTGGAGTTTTTTTCCAATGCCAAACCATTATTTCAACACCTCGACACTTGTTTGTATCACCAAGTGAACATACTCAACATCAAACTGCAGTTTGATCTTCCTCTTGAAGATGCTCACTTGGTGATCGAAACAAGTGTCGAGGTGTTGAAATAATGGTTTGGTGTTGGGAAAAGCTCCAGTAATATTGATGAATCATGGTTTATAATTTTCAGTATGTGTTTTACCGGCAAGAACTCTAATGCCTTGCTTCAGAATCATACATAGCGGCTGAGTGTGAATTATCAAAACTCAGTGGAAAATTCCGTGAATGTCGAAAATGAATGCCTCCAAGTTAACTAGTGATTTCAGCAGTCTAATCACAAATATTGCTTTGGATACCTTTCTTGTCAATTGATCTGCATAAAGTTTCCAATTGAGAGTAGGATCGATTCTAGATCCTAGAAATTTTACACTCTAATGGACAGTTTACTTCGTAGTAAAGAAAAGTGTCTCAGTTTTTGCAAGTTTAAAATGATTTTGAACCATCAACAGCTTGTTTTACAATCGAACATGATTGTTAAGGTAGCATCATCAGAAAATTCGGTTGTTTATGCGTTCATTTTCTTGGTAGATGGTTTATATAGATCAAAGCAGTCCTATTATACCACTCTGAAGCTTTGTATTGTCAAACATGATTATTGAAGTGACCTACTGGTGATGTAGATGCTGAGTATGAACACGACTGAAGAAGCTATTGTTTAGCAAGTAGGACGACACTATATTTGAAAATCATATGATTGAAAGTTTCTGTGACTTTCTGTTCAGACTTTTGAAAATAATCTCTGCTCTTTATGTCGTACCTTTTACAAGATCCCCAAATGTATTAACCCCTTGTATATTTTGAATTTCAAATGTTATGAAACCCATAAAAATGAAAACGAAAAAATGTTGGAAAAAAAAGCACAATCTTTCGATTAGCTTGAATATTTTCAAACAACCCAAAAAATCGAATTCTCACATCTACCTCCTTCGATTTTTTATAGTTCATGATATATAAGATTGATAAATTTCACTTTCATGTATTTCTAGTTTTTCATTTATTACTATTTTATTATCAAATTTCCAAAGTATATCGGCAAAAACATCAGAGGTTGCCGTAATACCTATAAAATCATAGTTCGAAATAAGATTGGAAATATAGTATGATTCACATATGTGTCTTCTTAACAAACACTTCACGTCACAAAATTGCAATTTGGGATCATGCAGTTCGTGATTTCTACTATGTGTTTTGACCCACATCAATGATACATTTCGCCCAAGATCTGTTGTAATTCATCATCATACCGACTGCGCCATTGTGAGCCGACAAATCCTAAATATAGCCTTTCATGTTCCAGTGTTCATGTGTCTTTGCGGAGCAAAAAACGATTGTCAAATAAACACCTCCCGCAATATCGGAAGTCCATAAAAAGACCAGTTAAGTTAGCAGCTTTTTACGGTATTTAGATGTCAGATAAAGGTGGTGTTTATTCGAGTTTTTCGCTCATTTATTTCAACCAGTCAATTGTGCGTGGTGTACAACTCGAATCGACTAACGACCAATAGAGGGTGATTTCGGGGTGATTATATTGAAATACTGCTGCTTGCAACGGAATATCTACCGTGATTTATAACAAAGCCGGTCGAATCACACAAAACGAGCCATTTATTTTATGGCGATGCTGAAATCATTGTTATTTTTATTAATGGCATTTGTTTAGTTTTCACTTTCGGTTCCGAATGGCTTTATTAGGGAGGGCGTGAGTTTCGAATTAGAACCACTGATTGCAAACCAATGTAATTAGTGTCAGTGTATGATTTCAATTAATTATTAGGTAGTTTAATTTCATCTATTACCGCTAGGTGAACATTCGATAAATAAACATATAAGCTGATTATCCCTACCAATTTCAATGACTAATGATGATATCACTTCACTTTAAACATTTTTGAACATGAAATGGAATTGAAGAACTTGATGTTCCATAGTTTCATTAATTCAAAGGAATAAACCTTTCTGTATCTGTAGAGTAGGAAGGGTGAGTGTAGGCCCACAGCACTAAGGCCACATGTGACCCATTGTACATCGTCCCAAGAGTTGCTTTCCTTGGTCATCGTCCATCCTGTCCTTTCCAGGAAGGTGGACAGGTCTCTGGGAGACATCTCCTTTATATCGGCAGGTGTAGGCCAAGACTCGCCGAACACACTCTCGTATTGATGATAACTCCGGAAATTTGCATAGGACATGCCTGATAGCTTCATCTTCCTGTTCAAACATTCTGCATAGAGGTGTGTCTACTAACCCCATATTATGGAGGTGTTTCCTTCGTTGACAGTGGCCAGTCAGAAATCCTACTGTTCAGCGTAGATTTTTCCCGGTATTCGCCAGATATTTCTTCGGCACCAGCTTTCCAGGGTCGCCCAGGGTGATCCTAGCAAGATTGCATCCTTTGATTTCATTCCATCTGTAACGTTTGGTTAGTTCCGCAGTTGGCGAAGTCATCAGGCCGTATGTGTCACTGGGTCCTAAAATTCTTAGTCCAGCCGGTTCCTTGACTAAAGAGTCAGCACTGCGATCACCTTCACTCCTGTCGTGCCCTTTAATCCACCTCAGGATAATGTTATTATCTACTGACACTTTGGCAGATCTTGGTGGCACTCTAGTACTAGCCCTGAGGTAATACGTTGTCCGTTCAAGGCTAACAGGGCTTATTTGCTATCAGTGCAGATTGTTGAAATGGACCTTTATGCATCTCTAACACATGAGGGTCTATTGTGGCTCACATTCACTTGAACTCGACCTAGTGAATCCAGCTTCCTGATCAATGAAGTCAATTAATTCATAGGTGAGCTGTCAGCTGTCGAACTGTCCACTGAAATCGAAGAAACTTTTCAAAATGAATTGAATATCAAGATAAATGATTGAATTTGCCAAGAAATCTCACTGTGCTTGAATCAAATTCAGATGAGATCATCCAACTGTATTCAAGTAACATTTTATTGTGAGATTTTCACTGCACAGTTTACAAATCCGCAACACGTATTTCGCTATAGAATAGCATCTTCAAGCATTTTCATACAGACTCTACTAAGTTCAGATGAAAACTGATTAAAAATTCATATATTTATCATAAAAGAAAATTTTCACCAACTCAGAAATGGTCCTACAATTAATTGAAACTTCATTTATTCAAACCGCGACTTGGCATAAATAATTTTCATAAATACTTTGGATTGATTCTATGCCAGAAGTTTCAGTTTTACCTTTTATTATTGTCTATAATTAGTGAATAACATTAATGAAAAACTTTTCCTGATAACGCTGAACGTATATCGTTTGATATCCGATACTTAGGTTTTCCCAGTATTCCGCCAATCGAAACAATGAGCTGACGAGCGTCTCTTAGACAGAACCATGTTAATCCTGTAATTTATAAGGAAATTCTACACTAACTATTTGTCTATCTCAACATCATTATCAATTCATTGAGAAGTTTCATTCATTCAACGAAGAAATAATAATAAGAAACCCTTGGAGTCCTTTGCTGGATAAAATGTTCAAGAACAACCATGATTTTTCAGAAAGAACTGAATTTTATCATACAAATCGCGGTCAACAACGGTGACAAAGTAGAAACTATCGACTCCATTCTTTCTAAAAATTTTGGAAACATGTCATTTACCAGAACTATCCCATTTCAAGAAACAATAATGGGCGTTATAGGACATCAACATACTTTAATGAACCCACCAATAACATAACTCGTCTTTGGAAAAGGAATGGCTCGGACGTGTCTCACCGGATCACTTAAATATTGAAGCAAATTTTTCAGAAACAATAAATACAAACCTTCAATGTAGGATAAATCAAAAGTAAATGAATTGACTTGTGGTTTTTGTCCAAAACTTTATATTGGCCAAACTAGGAGAACTTTTTCCCGAAGAGGTAAAGAACATAAAATTAGTTTTCTCTTTGTGAACGTCAATTACACATTTGCAAATCATCATAATTTTTCAAATTGTTTCAGATTCATACGAGTACATCTCATTCTTCCAGATTTTGACAATTCTGGAAATTTCAACTCGATTCATGAATCGAACCAAAAGAGGTTTGACTTGCATTACAAAAATAATGAATTCAGGCACGTGAATTGTCCATTTCAATTTGTCCATTTCATTAAGAACCACTTGTAACACTTTTCACGTTCGGTAATCACCAGATTTCATGGAGATAAGTCTGGTGTCCGTGCAATTTTCCGCGTATCAACGGCATGAGAAGACAATTTATATTATTGAAGGAGTGCTACCTCATTTCCTAATGGCCATTCCCTGTTTTTATTTTTCAAAAATAACTTAATATTAATCT